CCCCAAAACCCCAAAACCCCAAAACCCCAAAACCCCTAATAAACTGAGTAGCATTGAAGGCTAATCCCAAAATCACTAAAATGGCATACATTAGCACTCTAGATAGGTATTTTAGTGCCCTCGAGGTGACGGCGATAAATTTACAGCTAAAATTTTAGTATACAGACTTTAACCCCTACTCTCTTAATGGTTTATTAGACATTGCTCTAACAACATAATTTAGTTATACTGTGCTATCTGTGGGGTTGGAGAAGGAAATGAAGAATAAATTATTGAACTGAAGGATTATTAGAAGAAGACTTTTGCCATTTAATCGATTAAATTAAATCAATTAGGGCATGCATTAGGATCCTTTCTACGGGATTATGCTTGATAGCCAGTTATTTTGAGTAGCTTGAAATAGTATCATCTCTGAACCCATATTTGAGTAAAATACTAGTGACCTGATCTGCTTCGAGTCCACATTTAGTCATCTTGATCTTTTTCAGGCTATTTTTTAGATCATTTTCCTGAGAAAGCCCATTCATTAGATTATCAAAATGCATTTGATTGTTTTCCCAGTCTCCATATTCACTTTTTCCACAAGAATTAAGATCGATTCCATATATCGTGCTACCACTAAGCCTCCCACCAAAGTTTGGAACAGAAGCAAGTTTGAGCTTTCAAGTTATAAATCCTATCCATGTTTTCTTCTTTCAAACAGAAAGAAGCATGATAAGATTTGGCTGAGAGATTTCAAATTTATATATAAAGAACTGTTTAAGAACATTCTTGCTGATGGTTACCAGCTCTCTCATATAGAAGTCCATTGAAGGGTTTATCTCAGACTGCCAGTTGAAGTTAAGAACTCTGACTTTATTAGGGAATTTATTCCTGAGAAAGCTTTTGATTTCTTGGCTGTCTCCAGGAATCTTTTTCAGGTCTAGCTTATCAATGTCAGGCATTTTGGTAGGGAGATCTACAAGACAGGCTAGGTGGTTTGGGTCGTTTAGAGATAGAGTTAGGCGTGACTCAGGGTTTAGCTCAAGAGCTTCCCTGGTGATATTTTTGTAGTGCAGGTTGAAGTCTGAATAGGAGAGGAGGACTATATTAAAAACAGTTGTTCATCTATTCAAATCCCTCATCATCCATCCCTCTAATCATTTGGTATATAATAAAGCAATGTATTATCTTGTTTAAACCTTAGAGCAAGAATCCTAACATAACTTTATAATCAGAATACTCTAAACAAAGATCCCGACTGGCTTTAAATCATTCAGTCATTTTCACTTCATATCTCTACTTTATAGATGGGTGGTAGTATACTTATCCTCAGATTTTAAATTAGTATACATCGAAGGGATTAAGATATCTAAGTGAATGCATTTCATAAATAAAAATATTACCTTCGTCTTGTATTCCTCGATCATGCCTCTGCTTTAGTTGTTCAATCTCTTGATAGAGTGTTTTATTCTCTTCCTCAAGATTCTCAATGGCTAGATCCTTCTTCTTGATCTCTTCTTGAAGTTTATCGCTTTGATACTCTCTTAGGTCATCTATTCCCATGGCTCCGATTGGCTTTTCTTTTATGCTTCTATAATATTTGTGAGAGAAGTAGAAAATGCAGGGAGGTTGATTGTACCCTGGAGAAGCTGGCGGTGTTTTGGTATAACAAGTGGATTATGGATCTATTTTGGACTTACTCTTCAGATCATCTCCATAGCCACTTGATTGCAAAATCCTTGAAAGATTCTTCATCGTTGACGATGGCTTGGAGGTTTTTTGCTCTTGTTCTCAAGTCTGCAAATTCATGCAAGGATTTTGTTTCAATAGCTTTATTCATCTGTCTCTTTACTTCATCCATGTGAAGCTTAATCTCATTACAAAACTCTTGTCCATTCTCACCTGGCTTGCCTATAAGGTCCACAAGAAGTGAGGTGGAGAAAATCTTGACGATAAGATCAACAGTTTTTATCGTGTTAACTGCAAGGATTGGAGAGATTAATCTTTCTCCTTGATACGGTTCAAATCTTTCATCAAAATGATACCCACAATAATACTTTCCACCACTCTCCACATACATCATCGCTTTACTATCACAAACTTCCACACAACAATCAACTGAAAGATCCATTTTTAAATACTATAAAACCCAAGATCTTCCCATATATTTCCATCAGGCCTGATTTCTCTGGGGTTTTGGGGTTTTGGGGTTTTGGGGTTTTGGGG